TCAAACATCCAGACATTGCTAATTTTTCAGTTTGTTAGTGTTTCACCGCCAGCGGTGGATAATTTTTTCACGTGATCCGCGTCGGCTACGTAAACGTCTTTTAATGTATTGTATATATTTACAGTCGGTTCGAACCTGTTTGAACAAAGCAGGTCGCCGCTGAGTTTGTTATTTTCGTAATTTTTTTTTTGTTTTTGTCCCAGCACCAACAGCTGCTGCAAATATTGAAATTAGTGGTGCCAGCGGACGACGTGCCACTGCCTGATAATTAACATGTGACTTTATTTATTAATGGTAGCCCAGCATTGTATGCGCAATATTGCTGCATTATTGCATTGCCTGTACAATAACTACCGCATATTTGCATTATGGGCTTTGGTCATAATGGACTCGAAACCGGGCACGTTTAAGGTCAACAACAAGTTGTTAGTACACTATATCAGGCTGTTAAATTCAAATGTTTCTTGTACTTCTTTTGTACCATTTTATTTGCTGGTAGTTGTGTCTCTAGAGCAGCATATAAATGATTTCCGAATGCGTGAAAAAATATAGAAAGTAAAGTGCAGACAAACTTTGAGTGATTTTCTTTGGCTATTTAGCTAATATTAGTCATTTATTTCCTAATCAGTAAAAAATATAGAAAGCGAAAAGCAGTTAAATTTCACATATACTACTTAACAATAACTAAATTTTTTTTTTTTTCTCGGACAACCTATCAATTTGACTGATTTTCTATGGTTGGTATTTCCAAACAAAAAAACTAAAAATCCAAAAAAACTGTCTTTCTCTATTTCTGATATTAATTACACATTTTTCAAACAGTTTTCAACAAGAATGAGTTTCAATAAAATGCTTACTGTGTAGAACAACTTTTTTTCGCCTGCCATATTGGGAAACAGGAAAATTTAACCATTAACTATAGTATTAGAATTCGCAATATACATATAACAATGTATTCCGTTTCTCATTAAAAACAAAATATACCTGCATTTTAACTAAATCAAAAAGTAATTTCTTCTTTTTTTAAGCTGGTGACACTATTGCCACCGTTTATTTTACTTTGTATTGGGCGCCATTTATTTATGTTTGGCAAATATTTTGCAGATAAGCTGCGTAGATAACAGACACACATTGCGGTGGCAGCTGGAACTCATTCGCTCTGTGCTCTCCATAGTTTTCTATGGGTATGTACATAGTATAAAGATATATATCTGGCCGATCTAAAGGGGTGAGGGTGACGAAACGGTCATTGACATGCGCATACCGGCGAACAATTGTCCATTGTTGAAACCAGTCACGAGCTGCATGCTGCGTCACTAATTCTAACTGGCTAGAAAAAATACCCATACGCCGTGGTGTACACGGAATATTCCGATTTAAATCTAGAAGTGTACAGCCTGCAGAGAAAGCTCTCGCCATTGTCGATTCTACGCACAGTTAACAAAACACCTGATTGATGATCAGTACACGATCGTACTATATGCCATTGCCTTTATTTTTTTTTTTTTTATTATTGTGCGCGCTTATTGGCGCAGAAATGAATGTTAAATGCTTTTTGGCACTTTGGCTCTAACAGAGGGATATTGAGACATCAGACATGCTCGGCTGGCTGGCGCTTCTTCACTTTGTGAGTCACTAATTTGAACCAATCTGCGGATCAGCGAGTTCATCGCTTGATGGGAAATTATCGTCTACGTTCAAAGAACTTCGAGTGCTGAAGGTCAAGACAACGACGACGGAGTCCACTTTTAGTTAGCCCATAATCAGAGCCATAAATTATCCAGCTAATGTGGCTCACACACTCATAAATTTAACGATATCGTTGGTAATCTATTTCAATTTGTTGCCTTTCAATCGGGCCCGCAGCTGTGCGGAATGTTTTTACTTAAAAAATTTATCGATTTGTGCAAGCGCACAAAAATTATAACCGAAGGTTATACTACAAACATAACCAGTGCCAGGCGGGCACTATCTTTAGTATTAATTAAAGCCACCAAAATTGGGAATTGCAAATTGATAAACGGCAGCCAAAACAATTTGTATGTATGGTACGTGACTGAGAAATAAGAAGTTCCTCCATATATCTATTCAGATTGATATTGCATGTGTTCGCGTCATAATCTGGAGCACTGAGTTAAGTTATGGTTGATATATAGAGAATACTGGCCACATGGCCGCGATAATGCCAAACAAAGAGGTTTATTGGTATGAAGACACGTGATTTCTTGTGGATTTTCTTGGTCACTCGATGGTAAATATTGACCTGCAGATAGATATGGCTTACAGAGATGATTCACGCTGTCTAAAGGGGGGTTATTTTGTAGGCTTTCCAATCACTCAGTAAGAAGATGAATAAGTTAAACAATCCTTGGCCTAAAGCTATAGATATGATATAGTCAGTAGAATACCCGATGAATTCTAAACAAAGTAAACAAAGATCAATCACAGTACATAAGCCCATCGAACCTTGACTAAAATGGTTTAAAATTTGCATCCTTTTCCATAACTAACCTCTTGCTTTGTCTTATCATGGAATTACCGGGAAAGTCCAAAAAGAATTGACTTTTTAATGCCCCGGGGCTTAAGTTGTCCACGGCGATATCAATGCCCGCTTGTATAACCCGCATGTGAATGCCTAGAGCCCCATAAGTCAAGTGTCCGGGTCTTAAGTGGCCTTTTCATTTAAGTTTATTTATATTTAGCGATAAATTTAATGGATGGGTCGCCGGTTCTTCAAGGGCTGTTGTTCTTAAACTAGCATGATGGTGGTGTGAGTGCATTTCCTAAGATATTTTATGACTATTTTTTTTGCCAACTGGTAGGGCATTTCCCTCGAAAACGCTTTTAATTACCAGTGCTACGTGCAAAATCTATCAACGTGACATTTTATGACATTTCAAATATTTTACAAAGAAACGAATGATTGTGAAAGAGTACCTTGCAAAAAGTTCCCATCGGGAATATTAACTATCAGCTTTTGGTGATTTTTCTTGAGATATGAGCGAATATCTTTGTATATTTCATTGGAATATGAAACTGTGGATTGATTACTCAGTGGCTTTTACCGAGCTGACGGGTATTTTCTTAAAATATCATTTTTGCGGCTTTGCGGTTGGCAGTTTATTTTACCGAAGAGTATGCAAAAATTCTTGGGCATGTGTGCTAAATATATATTTTCAAGAACTTCAAATACTCTGACTGCTTCTCAAGTTTTTTTTAGACAAGTGGGTAATGGAACCCTTCAAATTATCAATCTCTATAAAGGTTGTTTTATTTCTTAATGACGTTGCACTTAAGCGTGTGATTGATTGTCCGCTTGGTTTCATAATACTCATATACTATGTATATACTAGTGCTGTTGTATGTCATTAAAAAACATCTGGGAAGCCATCAAATGACTATCAATATGATTTATTCAACTATTAATTATATGCCTACGACTACTTGAGTTCTTGTTTTTTAGTGTTTGCCTTGGTTGTCGCAAAATGTATGGGGGTTTTTGTTTTACAATTCTCATTGTTTTGGGTGACAAATTGTTTGCTGATAAGATTGCCGACTTTTTTCCAAGGAGAGAGGGTGCAGCCCTCGTTTATGATCAATATAAGGTGCGATCAAAGATATATGTGGGTACGGCAAGCAATGCGCATATAAGGAAATTTTACAGGGTTTTTGAAATTGACGTCTTGGGCCCTCAAATCGTTCGATCAGCACGTTCTAATTCTGATAAGACATGTGTGTGAAAGTCAAGGCCGGTTACCCATACGATTCGAGACAAATGTTTAGACAAAGAGCCCCAAATGTCGGTTTATTTGCTCTTATACAAATGCCGACTTATCTCTGTCTTACTTTCGGAACTTTGTTCCTTTCTTATGCTGATTATTCGGATTTATAAGCTTTGCTGTCACAATCAAAACAATAACGCATATCAATCGTTCAGTTGCTGTAGATTGACGCTTTATTCAAAGCGATTCGAACCGGTTGCAACCGCTTCATCAGACAAAAACTTAAATATAGAAAAACAGTAATCGCAAATAAACCCACAATGAAAAAATAGAATATCCAAAAAAAAATCACACCGAAAACCCGTCTTTAAATCACACTGTGCAACAGGAAGCGAAACTTCGATCGATTTGTATCTCAGAGCATGGCAAAGAGTTTACTCAACTGACTCACTGGCATCCCCCGAGATGATCTTGGGATTTTTGCACTTCGAGAAGAAAATCGGTGATTTTATTTTGGTATCATTTTAAACCGTGAAATACAAACTTTCCCCTAACGTTTTTATATATATAACTTGCAGTTTATATGAAACCTAACTTTGTTTAGAGACCCACTAATCAGATTTCATGTCTTTCTTATTTGCACTTAATAAAAATCTATATTTTTACCAACAATAACGTATATATTAATAATACTGAAACAGGAAAACAGCAAGATCAGTTTTAGCTTGAAGTTTTTTTTTGCAATTTTGGTACTTTAAATTTTCTATAATATAGCAAGTATTATTGACTTTGATCGCGGAAATTTATTGAAAACAAGAGCTCTCTTTTATGATTTTTTAATGTTATTTTCTTATTTTTTTCTGTTCTACTGAACTGATAAGAACAGATGTCTCTTTTCTTAGCATTAAGTTGAAATACTCAGCAGTGAAAATTATTTGGTCGCTTAAAATGGACGCATATTTTTTTGTGACCTGTTTCTGTTGTTGGTGGGACAATTCCGCGGCCAATCCACCCAAACGATAGAGCTATTCAACCCTAGTAATATTAACTTAAGTCCTGAAAATTACGAAAATAATTATTAACTAATCGTAAATAGCGGTTATTATTTTTCCACGAATGAAATCTTTTACATTTCTATAATAGTCGAAGGTCAAATGATAATCCCAATAAATTCTTTGTTATTTAATAAACTTTTTTAAAAAAGAGAGCAGAAATATACTGGAAAATAAATTCTCTGTATTTACCTTATATAAGGGTGTTGATAAGGAGATTCGTATTTTTCTAGATTTAATTCAGTCGGATTTTTTCGTCGGTCGAAGTGGACGTGTCATTTTTTGTGACCTGTTATATAGTATTCCTGCTCTTCCTAAGAATCTTGATTTAAGACCTGGGAATGCAAACAATCACCACGTACTTGGAGGATGTATTAATCCCTTCTGCGGATAGACGAGTAAACAACCGGACTAAATATTAAATGAAAGCCAACGTCTTCAACTGGTTTTTATTTTTATGCAGTAAAAGTGGACTCTTTGTGAATTTCACCTTTTAAACTACAGGTATTTACTTTTAATAATACAGGATTGGCCATTCCAATATATTCCTAATATGGTGATGATAAGAAGATTCGATTTTTTTCTAGATTTACTTCAGGCGGAATAATTTCGTCGATCGAAATGGACACTTCAATTTTTGTGACCTGTTGGATCGCATTCCTGCTGTCCCTGGGACATCTGTTGGCTCAACCTAATTGGTCGGCTCAACCCAAATGGTTGGCTCATCCCGATCAGTTGGCTCGAAACACCGAGGAACCACAGAATATCGACACTTCGAAGCTTGATTTAACACCTGAAATTGGAATCAATCAAGGCGCACTTACGGGATGTACTAATCCCTTCGGCTGCTATACGAGTAAACAACAGGACTAAATATTCAATAAAAGCCAACGCATTCAACTGGTTTTTATTTTTATACAGTAAAAGTGGACTATTCGTGAATATGACCTTTTATCATCAAGCAAACGTCGCCAAATACTCAAAAAGTAAACAATTATTATAAAAGATTGGGCATTCCAATATATTCCTTATATGGTGGTGATAAGAAGATTCTTATTTTTCTAGATTTACTTCAGTCGGAATCCGTTGGATCAACCCAATCCGTTGGCTCAACCCACTACGAAACCACAGGCTTTCGTCCCTTCGAATATGAACTTAACAAGTGAGAAACCCGTCGTGTAACAATCCCTTTTCAAGTGGGTAAATAACGGAATAACCTTAAACGCTTATATTTTTATGAAATAAAAGTAGACTCTACGTGACCCTGTAAGCTATACGTATTTTTAATCAGCATCAAAAAAACATTGCAGCTAAGTGCTCAAAAAGTATACATAAATGGTATAAGATTGGGCAGTGAACAGGTCATCAGGTTAATCAGCGCGACGCAGTATAATTTATTTTTAAATCAAGCTGACTTGTTTAAAATTGATAAATATTTTTTCTAGATTTTTTTATTATTTATCTCACAATCTTTTGTACTACTATTTATTTATAATTTACAGAACTAATGTAAAAACAAGACTATAATACATGATTTCTTTCATTCATGTGATACGAGTATAATATGATAGGTACCAAACGAAAACTTAAACTCTTGCGCGTGACCCAAATTGCTGTTGAACTTAGTTATACCTAAAGTTATCGCCAAATAGCCGTGAGTAATAGACCAACCTCGTTTCGTTTGGCCCGCCCGCATGCAAACCATTACCATTACCATTACCAAATCAAATCGGAGGGACTTTCGGTTCGCTGCAGGTGCGGAGTAGTTGGCTGATTAACGAAGGCCAAAACCACACACAGCTGGTTAAAATGGTCGCAATCAGTCGAAGAGTTACACCTGTATTTAAATGTAAATGTGCCAGTGAAGTGATATATATTTATGTTTTGGCCTATCGCATGTCTAACCGAAGGACAAACCCAAGTGGTGGGTTTTCAGGGGGTAGAAAACCCATCTGCAAGATGGCCGCCGAGAACCGGATAGGGTGCATTGAACCCTCTGGTTAAGAGGATCTCGATCTGGCCAAGGTTAAGGATATTTTTAGAAGACCAAATGGAATGCGACGCCAAGCATGAATTAACTTTATACTTTGTACACTGTGCATTGGCCCAATTAGCAGCTGCAGTCAGCGTATAAAATGCATTTTGCGATCGCTTCAACTTGTTGTTCTCGCTTTCAACACGGAGAATAAATATGATCTTAACTATTTAAAACTAAAAAAAGATTATAATTTTTTTGTAATATATTAAAGTGTCAGTTTAATAAGTCATAGATCGTCTGCCAAACTAAATTGATAACCCGTTTTAATAAAATTTGAATTAACATAACAATTAGAAAGTCAGTTTGAAATACTAACAATAAAATCACCCACATTCTAAATATACCACATTGTATAAACTGGCTTTAAACCGCTTTTGATAAGTATTATTTGGTTCTAAAAAATCATAAACAATCCGGTTTTTTGGTTTGAAAATGTAGGCAATATTTAAGCAACTTGGGTGATAATCATGCACGGATCCACGGGGGGGGTTGTTAAAGGGGAATAGATCCCCCCAAAATTATATTTATAGGGTTTTACAGTTAAAATATGTATTTTATTCATAATTTTTGATATCTACTCAACAATTTTTTTTCATATCCCCCCCCCCCCCACTAACAAATCCTAGATCCGACACTGGAGATAATATACCCTTATACAATGTATTGCAAAATATGGCTTTGCATATTTAAAATAGCAAACATTCCTTATAAAAATTCTGGTTTTTCCTTATATAAAAATCTTAAAAATTGGTTAAATTCCTCTGATTTTTTTTCGAGTGCACTGGCTGTGCTGCACTCATTGGCCAATTGCACTTCAACCGGAGAGGAGAGCCGCATAAGTTGGTGGCTGTAGCTGCTTTTGGCTTTGGTTTTGGTTTTGCTTTTGGCCAGATGTATTCGCCACTGGCCTGGGCTTACTCATCGCGTTGGTTCGCTGGCCACGATCTTAGCACACTTTGGTGGCATTCGCATTCGCATTCGCATTCGGACTGGACTGTAATGGCAATCGAAATAGCATATTCGCAAACACTCGCAGCTCAGTATGCCACAGGAAAATAAATACAAATAAATACAAAAAAGCGATACCAGATAGAGAGTGGAAAAGAAGCCGAGGAACTGAAAGGGTAACGCTCGTTCAGAGTGGTTTTTTCTTGGGTAATGCGAGACCATTTCGACATGATCGTGTTTCACAGAATAATTTATTATTTTGTTTGGCTGTTGCCGAGTGTCTTTTGGCCAGGTCTTTCTTAAATGCGGTTAAGCACTTCGGCTCACAGACAGTTCCCCCCGCCGCCCTCCTAGAAGCCAAGTTCTTACCGACGATCGAGGTGTTTGTCTGGGATATGCACATGTATGTATAATAGGGATCAAAATAGTATGATCAGTTCTTCAGAACTAATAAATAGATAGATTGTTGAGTAAATAATAATAATATATCCGCTTGTAGTGCATTTTTATATTGTATTTTTATCTATACATCAAGGAGAACTTAAATATTTTCGGTGATTTTGTTGTGAAATAATATCCATAATTCTTAGAAAATAAAAAGCTATCTGTAGTAATAATACTTTTTTAGCAATACATAACTAATTTATTATTTCAGTTTTTATCTTTAAAAAATATTTATTAAAATATGTGCTTCCATTAAATCTATCTATATATTGTTACTAATGTTTACTATATTTTCTTTGATTTATAAATGATGTATATGTTAAAAAGGTTTTTATCTAATGTGAAGAACTTAATGAAAAATATAGCTAAGGGAATATTTTTTGGGAGTAACTATTTTTTTGCCCCCAACTGTCCTGCATTTGCTTAGACTCTGGCCGAAAGCCACAACTTGAAGCCAAGAGCTAACGACCGCTTATTGCCGTGACTCCACAGCCTTTCGCATTCTCCAACAACCACGCGAATCCGCGAATGTAGAAAAGGTGCACAAAAAATATTAATGATCAGACAAAGAGCCAGCAGAAGTTGGGTTCATTTCTGCAAGAAAGCCACAATATTGTCGTCATCTTAGCCGATTGCCACAGGCAAGCATTTCGAGTGGCAAAAGCCGTTAAGACGAGATGGCTGGGAGTCCCATGAGATACCAGGTCTATATACTTTAGAGAGGGGTGTCTAAGACCTTCATTGGATTAGGACTCAAAGAATCACGCGGAAGAAACAGTTGATTTTGAAAGATATTATGTAATATATTGTATAGATATTATATATAATCTATCTATATATAGATATTATACTCTCTTAAATCAAAATAAATTTTAAAGATTGTAAAAATTCAAGGCAATTCTCACTTTTTGTTTAACGATAGATACAAAAATAGTTATTAAATTAATACCACAAATTAGCGGTTATTTTTCACCACAACCCTGTGTCATCATTATCATATAGATATATTTATCTATTAAATTAATATTAATATAAAACATTTCCAACGCTTTGATACCTCTATTATCTTAGAACAAAGTCAATTTGAAACGATTGTAAAAATTCAAAGCCAATTCTCACTTTTCGTTCTGACGTTAAATAAAAAACAAATAGTTTTTAAATAAATACCACAAATTAGCAGTATTTTGTTCGGATTAATTCGTAAGTGGTTTTGCCACCTTGCAATTGTAATTCCATTTCTAATTTGTATACACCTTAATTGTAAGCCGATTGTCAGCTTCCTGTTGTCTCTTGTGCCCACAATAATTATGAATTTGTAAGTGGATTGACACCTAGCCTTGAATGGTGAACATTCCCCTCTATAATATTGAAAACCCGCTTGCTTACCTGCGAATGCAGTTTCCAATCTTTGTAGGCCTTTACAATGTAATCCATTTCCGTGAATTTGTTTATTACTGGATCGCCTGCATTGAAGAACATAAAAAATACTAAGTACGGTCACTCCACTCACTGATAATAATTAATTTTCGTGTTTTTGGTTTTACTGTCTGTCGGCTGAATATATTTCCACAATTATGAAACAATTAACCACTGTTCGTGGGGTTTTTTTTCGCGTTGTCTTGATATCTGTTTCTTTTTTTTGGTTTTTTTTCGGTGGCTGCAATCAAACGTGGTTGTGCAATTTCCGAGTAATTATTTGACTGACTTTACTTAGTTTGGGCTTTTTCGCTCTAGTCAAGGCTGGCAACAACAAATCTCTGGCTTTTTTCTCTTTCGTTTCTTCGGTCTTTTTTCTGGGTCTCTGCACTTGTGCAAATCTCCAGAGCTTGTGGGCGTGTGTGTGAGAGTGGGAGTGTGCCGGTGACGTGTGTGAGTGGGTACAGTCGGACCTCTATAAGTCGAACTAGTGTGTAATAAATAAATTGGAATTAGGTGCTTATTGTAGGATTTGTTTTTGAGAATTTTGAAGAAAATTGAATTATTTTAGGGATATAGATATTTCACCTAAAATTAATATTTAAATTGATGTATTTCTTTTAAAATAGTATTACTATTCCGATAAGAATATAGATTCAATTTTGGCACTAAATTATCCTTAAAGCATAGTTTAGTTGAAACCAAAACTTATGTTTCTGATACCAAGATCATTAAGAGTTCTAAAAAGAGTAGGTTTTTAGGTTCTATTGAAATTTGCTTATTTTATGTATTAGAAACATAACTTTTTTTATAAAAAATATTTTTTTATTTTATATTTAAATTTTTACTTAAAATAAAAACTTTGTTTTCTTTATTTTTAGTTAAAATTTAAATATAAAATTAAAAATATTTTATAATATAATATTTTTTACTTTTATTAATTTCAGATTTTCTTTAAGTTTTTCAATTATTATTTTTGTCTTTATTGTACAGCGGAAAAGCTTGGAATTTATAAGCTTCAAGATCGCTTTAGTTATACGGAATTGTATTTCTTGATGGAACACAGCTCTTGCCTACTTCCGAGTTATAGAATACCGACTGTACAGATGTGATTTTGTTTTCCGGCCGCGACAAATGGAAATGTGTGTGTAGAGTACCGCCATTCGTGATCTTTTGCCAGTTGACTTTTTGTGTCGCTTTTTATCTAGACGAAAATGTTCACCAACTTTTAGGATTTTTTCCATGTTATAACAATAATTCCACAGGCCAACGTCGACCGTTCGTGTTGCTGCTGTTACTTAAGTTATTAAATTAATTGTTGTTGTGTCTGTGGGACAAGGGGCGGCTTTTGTTTTTTGTTTGTTATTTTTGTCACAATGCAAATGAGTGTGGAGCACACCGAGCGCCGAGTGTAAATACACACA